TTCCAGCCATGTCTATTATGGGTACGACTCTATTGAGTTGTACGTTATGCTGCGAGAGCCTCAGGTGACACAAGAGGTTGATCCTTTGGAGAATGAACAAGCTGAGGTAGATGCAGTTGATGATGAAGAAGAAGATGACGAGTTAGAGTTTGATGAAATGGTGAATGATGATTCCGACGATGATGGCATCCCTAGTATTCCTGCAAACGAAATCTACACACCACCTCCGCACATGACAAACTTCAACATGGGCGGAGATAAACCTTCTACTGACTTATTTGTCAATCCGTATATGCAGTCGGATGAAAATTTAAAAGAGAAGGACAAGTTTCGTAACAGAGAGGAATGCATCAGGGCTATTAAAAAATTCCACGTGCTCAACTCGGTTGATTTTAAGGTGGACCGTGTTCACCCGAAAAGGTACAAGATCAAGTGTGTCCACCCTGACTGTATGTTCAAGCTGACCGCATCATACAGATTAAGGGGTGACTGTTGGGTCATAGGTTCCATGACTACCCACACTTGTGTAAGTTCCACTCAATCACAGGACCACCAAAAACTCAACTACGATCTCATCTGTCAAGAAATCCTACCCCTGGTCAGCAATGACCCATCTTTGAAGGTGAAAACAATCATCTCCCACATCACCACGGTTTTTAACTACACTTCGTCTTACCGTAAGGCGTGGTTAGCAAAGACTAAGGCGATTGAAAGGGTGTACGGAAACTGGGAGGAGTCATACCAAGAACTTCCCCGCTACCTAAATGCACTCAAGAAGTATTCTCCAGGTAGTGTTTACGTTCTGGAAACAGTGCCAGCATACGCCCAAGATGGTAGTCTACTAAATGGCAACGGAATATTCAGTCGCGTGTTTTGGGCATTTCAACCATACATCACAGGGTTTGCATCATGCAAACCAATTATACAAATTAATGGGACTTGGTTGTATGGGAAGTACAAAGGCACGCTACTGATGGCAGTTGCACAAGATGGCAACAACAACATTTTCCCCATTGCCTTTGTCCTTGTCGAGGGGGAGACCGGTGGTGCTTGGAGCTTTTTCCTGAAAAATCTGCGGACACACGTGGCTCCTCAACCAGATCTCTGTTTGATCTCTGACAGACATGCCTCCATTGAAAGTGCCTACAATAATCCTGCAAACGGTTGGCATGACCCTCCTTCTACGCATGTCTATTACGTTAGGCATATCGTCCAGAATTTCTCGAGGGAGATCAAGGACAAAACATTAAGGAAAGCGGTTATGAATGTGGGATATGCATTGACACAACCCATATTCAAATATTACCGCAACGAGATCCGTTTGTCAAATCTGGAAGCCGGTAGGTGGATCGATAATATTCCGGTGGAAAAATGGACTAGGTCATACGACAATGGCCAAAGATGGGGGCATATGACAACGAATCTTATTGAATCAATGAATGGGGTATTCAAAGGCATACGAAACCTCCCAATCACTGCCTTGGTAAAATCTACGTATTTTAGGATGGCTGCGTTATTTGCCAAAAGAGGTGAAATGTGGAATGCGGTGTTGCAATCTGGACAACTATGGAGTGAAAGCTGCATGAAATACATTAAGGCTGAAAGTGCTAAAGCCAACACTCATATGGTTATACGGTTTGACCGACACAGCCACAACTTCATTGTGAAAGAGACAATCGACCACAATGAAGGCCTGCCAAGACAAGAATATAGGGTCATGCTACCTTCTCAATGGTGCGATTGTGGCAGGTTTCAAGCATTTCGTATGCCTTGCTCTCATGTCATTGCCGCTTGTGCTCATACCCATCAAGACGCGCTGCAACTTCTGTCAAACATTTACAAATCTGAAACGTTGTTCAACGTTTACAACAACAACTTTCCTTTGGTAGCAAAACCAGATTATTGGCCTGCATACGACGGCGAAATAGTGTGGCACAATGACCAAATGCGAAGGAACAAGAAGGTTTGTCCCAAAAGTAAGCGCATCACAACAGAAATGGACGATCTTGACAGGTTGGAAAGAAAGTGTGGTTTATGCCGTCAGGTCGGACACAATCGCAAAAACTGTCTGAATCGGGCGTCTTCCTCGACCACATAAAAATTGTAATACATAAAATCTTTCCTTAATTGTGTTGTAAACATTTGGGTTTTCCGTTAACAAATTTTGCTACAATTAATAAAACGCGTACAAGAATAATTAACGATATTTCGTCTACGAAATTACAACTGTTAACACAATTTCATCTGACCCATGCATCATCAACATTACATCGCTGTCTGTTTTGACTTCCTCCAACCATACATTAGGTCTTCCTGTCGCATGTGAGGTTGTTGTTCGTTTTTGCTGGATCCTTCGAATTTCCCCCCCTCCGTAATGTCTCCATCTAGCCATCGCATCAACTCCTGCTTCAGACGCTCCATGGAGTGAATGTGCCAGAATTTCATTTTCATCGCAGGTTTCGTGGCGGAGAAGATAACATAACCATCTCTGCTAAAAATCATAGGCAACGTCATGACGCAAATAACAGAGTACAAAATAAAAATACAGTGCGAGAAAGTGTGAGAAATTTCGAAGAAATGGACGAATTATTTATAAAACAGCATTTTGCCATAGTTTTGCCCTAGGAGCCAAGTGAGATGGCGCCTCCTCTCACTTTTAAGGAGCATGCGCCATCTCACTTGGCTAAAAGCCAAGGGAGGCGCCAAGTGAGATGGCGCCTAGGACAAAATTGTAGGTGCATGCGCCATTTCAGATGGCTCTTCCTTTGGGAGTCATCTGAAACATGGTTATTTGCGTAATTTTTTCTGAAACCCGGTTATTTACGAAATATTATTTTAATACATGGTTATTGTAAAAAAAAATTCTCCATCTAACGACAGATTGTAAAGATGAAACAATTCTATAATAAAAAATCAATATATAAAATTAATTTTATTTAGAGTGGTAGGAAATATATAAATAATAATATGTAACTTAATTAGTAATAAATAAATTTTCAGTAATTTGATTGCATTTTTAATAACTAAATATAAGGATATCAAAAAATATATATATAACTATTAATATGGATAATATAACAGATCAAAATAATAATCTTAATTCAATATCGATTTTAATAGTAGTTAATGATATATAATTTAATTAGCAAATAAATGATTTTGCAATAAATATACTGTTATGAAGCTAAATTTCTGTTATGAATAAATATATAAATATTACTCTAAGTATAAAACAATACTCAATTTTAATAAGTATTAAATTGTAAATGTATTTCATATTTAAATGTTTTTTAAATTTTATTTGGAGTTACGTGAACATTTTTAATTATATATAAATTAAAAAATTGATATTTTTGTATATAAAAAATTATTTATATTTTAAATATACTAAAATTTTATTTTGGTTATGATAAATAATGAAAATTAAACCGTTTTTAAATTTTATTTTGGTTATGATGATATTTTTAGTTAGATATAAACTAAGAAATGATTTTTTTTTATTAAAAATAATTTATACTTTAAACTAAAAGAAACAACAAAATAAAATAATTAAATTTTGATTATGTAATATAAGCAATCCAGTCATTTGATTATGCTCAAAGATATTATAAATTAAAAGTTAATTTACAATAAATATGGAATTGTGTATATGTTAAGCACAAAAGAAATCATCCAAAAATAAATTGTCAAATAAAAAAATAATTTTGTAATATTAAATTAATGTACGAAATTAATTGAAAAAATAAATGAAATTTATAATATACAATATTGTATACTTGTGTGTTATAACGTTGAGAGAAAATTTAATAGATAAAGAATTAATATGTAAATGAACATAGAAACACATTAAAATTAAATAGATAAAAAATATGTAAAGAACAACAAGATACACATATTTTTATCTTATACAAGTTATTAAGTATCACAAATCATATCTAAAAAATATTTGATTTGGAGAAATTGGATAGATTGCAAAATTATGTTCACACATAAATTATAATGTACGATATTATACACACGTGTGTTATAATACTTGAAATGAGGGAAAGTTTAATGGATAAAAAATGTATTAGTAGATAAAGATAGAAAAACATCAAAATCAAATCAATACAATAGATGAAAAGCATGCAAGTTAAAGTGAATATTAATATACATAAGCTTATATCTTATGATCCTTATTATGCATCAAAAATCATATCCAACAAATATTGATTTAGATAGATTGACAAAATATGTCTAGAGTTAGAAGAACTGTAACTGTAGAATATTGATAGTAACCGTAAAATATTGATAGAGCAAAAAAGAATGGAGTGATTTATAATTTGGGCTCATTTATTACTTATTGAAAGAAGAAAAAGAATGGAGTTTGAGTTGATATGTTTAATGGGTTAGAGGAATTTCAAAAATTGATAGAATAGAATGACACATCATATTATAATTTGAGTTGATAAAAATATGCATAGATAACAAAACAAAGATGAAATGGCAAAGATAATAATAGTCTTTGACTCTTTTAATATATTATAAATAGATAAATAGATGCTAACTACTTCGTATACACACGTTTTCCCCTGGTAAATAACAATCTTAAACAAAACAAACAATGCTGATTAAGCAATGTTTTTTAAAACAGTTGTTTGATGTAGTTTTTGATCAATTGAATGGTTGATATAAGTTTTCATTCAGAAGTAAAGCTAATCAGAATAATGAAATAAAATTGCAATCTATATCATAAAGTAAACTTCAAGAAAAATATCCTAGAGAACAAAATGACAGCAACATTAGTCCCATGACATAGTGTGCCCTATACACTTGAGGTCCTATTTTAAATATCACATGAACATATAAGATAATGAAAGTTAAGTTTACATTGTTTAAAAATGGGAACATCATGAAAAATATCCAGTAAGTGAAGGGTGTAAGTTGTAATTGCATTTCGGTACAAGATCAATAGCCGCATCGGTGGAGAAAACATGGCCTTCTCACAAATTCCAAGGCGGTCAGAATATATGAGCAATGTCATATGCAAATCTATATTTTTGTCAAGGAAGCACAGCATAACATAGAATTTCAGCAGACAATATATAGGAATAACGGTTGTTATAAACCATAGCATAATTAGAATGAGCAATGGCTTCTCAAGAACATTTGAAATTCCACTAGTTTATTCATAACCATTCAAAGTAGTTACTAAAACTTGAGCAGCCACATTTTAATTTTAGGTTTATGAATAAGTTTTGATGCAAAAATGAAAAACTAATTCCATTGCTAAATATATTTGATGATATTGATTAAAAACTAAATTTGCATTAATACTCCACTGAAGTATTATTGAGAAAGAAAAGGATACGTCCAGAACAGCACGAACGACTGCATGAATTCAAAAAAAAGGAAAAAAAGTTAAAATGCTGAAAAACCCATGAACATTCAAGAGAGAAACATATAGGGAATGAAATAGGAGGATACAAACACCCCCAAATACATATTATGATCTAAATATATTGTTGAATTGATAGGATAAGATCAGCAAGAAAATTTAAAATTTAAAAATATCTCTTATTTTAAAAACTATACAAGCTTTACATTTAAAATTTCAATATGACATAAAGCCCTACTTTTTGCCTTTCTACAATTTACAAACATTTTACTAAGGGAGAGAGAGAAAAAGGAAATAGAGGTAACGCTCAGACTAGAAATATTTTAAGTCAGGTATATTTTAAGGGATGCCAATAATATGACAAGTAAGATGGTTTTTCATTTTTCATTCCTAAAAGCAGGATAAAGTTAAGTATTTTACAACGAAATTTGGTGTTTTCAGAGTTGATAATAAGCAAAGAATTTGGCTAACTCTTAAGAGTGTGTTTGGATGAAGCATTTTAATGTGGAAAAGTAATTTTTGAGGGAATTTAAAATGACTTGACCAAAATCCTTATCTTTCATATTTTAAATTTGGCTCAAAAGTTTTAAAATTTATGAAAATGACCCAAAAAATTTAACAATGAATCATTTGAATACTTCCATCCAAACAAAAGAATTTAAAAATGAATGGATTTCAATTGAATCATTTGATTTCATTAGAATTTTGAATTCCTTAAAAATTCTCAATTACATCATCCAAACACACTCTTAATGTTTATGACCATTTTCTTGTTTTCCCTGACTTTCTAAATTTTATTTTCTTTGAGGATGGGTATCTGATTCTGAATTTGTATGTGTCTATCTACCTATCTTATCCAAACAAATTTCTTCTTTCATGAAAAGTAAAGATGTTTCTCATACACACAAACTCACAACAAAACAAAGATGCAGTGAACATAATCAACTTACCATTAGACCACCGAGAAAGCCATCAACTAGCACGCGATTCCAGGAATCAAAGTATGTGTGGATTGAAAACTTTGATTTGACTATGAGCCCAACGGAAGTAAATGCCATGAGAAGTAAGTAAAAGACAAATCCGTACAAGCCCGTAAATCCCAAAATACCAGCAACAACTCCACCAATTATAGATAAAAATGTACGGCTGCAAAAGAGACAGATAATTCAATTGTGAACCTTAGATAATACTGAACGGCTGTTTCTTTGCATCCTCCCAACTCACTCAACACATCCCTATTTCCCCTTTCTGTGTGGGTGTTATATATACAAAAAGCACTTGCGTGACTTTTAATTCATATACATAGAATCACAGTTCCATCCATACTAAAACTACCACCCCCAACAACTTCTATACAACTTCTATAGCTGTTTTATGGTCCACACCCCACATATGACACTTTCAGCTATATGTATATATTTAACACAGTATTAAAAATGTGCGCAATCAAACCAAACCTGTAATAGATGATTTTCATGTTGCTTTGCATATTCTCAGCATTAAAAGTCAGCAACTCATTCACTCCATTGCTCGATTTCTTCTCTGATGAACCTGACCCAGAATGTACAGCCATAGTATCTTGTCTAACTTGTTGATATGTTCCTGTGAACAGAAAGATAATTGAACGATTTTTACTTGAAACAAAACTGTTGAATTCTTAACTAAAACTGTTGTATATAAATTTTACCATATAACGTTAATTTTCAATTTAGTTCATTTGTTTCAGTCTCATAAGCTCTATGTTATCTAAACTCCAGTTTCAATATTCATATTGTATATTTTTCAATAAGGATAAATTTGTTTACAAAAATGTCAGACCAACATTAGTAGTTACTGAGCTCTCATTATATTATACTAGTATAGATATAAATGAAGAAACACGTCTGGTTAATATACAGGTAATTCTAAAGACAGGCTTATACCACAATTCAAGAACTCACCAAGTGAGAGTCATTAATAAGTACTAGAACCATATTTGACACACTAACATGCATTACAAATTAATAGAAAAAGTAGATTAACCCTAAACCCTAAACCACTCGATGCTGCCTGTATAACTGTCAACTTAACCCATACCAATCCACTCAGCGCTAGCCCATATTGCCAAAAATGTTCACTCTTAGGGCAAAGAACCCCACAAAACCCTGTGGGCTGCAAGAAATCCATGAGTTTGATAGAGTACAATGGGCGTTCATTTGCTTGGATGCTTGGATACTATTTGGGTTTCTTTCTTGGGATGAAAAAACTCCGATCCAACCCGGGATTTTTTTTCTACAGGTCTAATCAGAAGATTTGGACGACAAAACAGGGGCTGGAAGGTAGAGGGATACAAAACCTAAAAATAAATCTTTCGTGAAATGGAAAATCCTCAACCATGGACACATTGTTATTTAGAATCTTAGATTACAATTATCATACCACAATAACATTCCAAATCCAAACGGAAAAATTAGAAATTGGAGAACAACAATGAAGATTTCAAAAAAATCAATTAAAAAACCTAAATAATTGCAATAGAAGGAGAAAACTGAACGAATCTGGAGAAAGAGTAAACTAATCACTGTAAGTACAACTATCAATCCAAAATTTATGTGTAAATTGCTAGAATCACTTTCATAATTAAAAGGGTCGAATACCTAACGATCAGGGCGAAACAACGATGCAAGGGACGACAGTGATGTTGTTGCCGCGGAATCTCAGCGCAGAAGTGGGGCAAGATGCGAGACGGAGAAATCTGAAATATTTTGGGGTTTAATTGAAGTTTTGTAATTGTTTGTTTTTTACTATTTTTTTATTTTTTTCGGTCCTATCATAACCTAACCTTTTTATTAAGTGGGTCATGAGCTGCGTTTTTTTGGGCTGTAAAATTACTGCTTTTAATAACAACAAAATGGAGTTAATTAGGTTGGAGGTAACTTTACTCTACTACACATCTTTAAAAAAACTCATCACAATTTAGAAAGTATTTTTTAACAGCATAGACAACTTTAAAAAACTCGTCACAATTTAGGAAGAATTTTTTAACAGCATAGACAACTTTCTTTCATACATATTTATTTATAAAATACAAAATCCGCTGTTCACAATAGTCATGGGTTATTTACAACTTCAGATTAAAGGAATTTGCCCACACTTATTCCCTTGTGGGAACTAAAGGGCAACATTAAAAATAAAAGAGTAGGTTGCTCCTTATATTTTTAAAATACAGATGGCATCACGCTAAATGGAAGCAAGTTGCAAGGTACCAAAAAATCAACTCTAATGACTATATGTTGAAAGGAAAAAGGAACCGTCAATGCATGTTATCAAGTACTACATCTATAAGAAGAAAATGGTATATGTCAAACTTGAGGACACGGTTGTTCTGAAAAGGAGAGTATTTTAGTATATAGAATAATATATATTTGAGTAGTTAAAGTACTTCAAAATTATTATAGAAGTTAGTTAGTTGAGGCTATTAAAAGTCACACATCATACGATATATAGTTTGAATATGAATATGTCCTTATAAGTGAGGATAATCTTGACCCTATGTTGGCTCCTAAATTCGACACTCTTGTTTTATCAATGTCAACCATTAAAAGCTGAAAGATGCTTTCGACTGGCTAAGCCTGTCGAAGTGCCCGTCGAAAGATGGCAAAATACTTAGAAGATTTCTTCCAAGGAAGAAGGCTGATTGCCTTCGACGTCGAAGGAGTTTTTCGTCGAAGATGTCTCTTGACGAAAGTGTTCGATGGTTCAGAATGGAGCAGTTTGAAATTCAAGCGTTTGGAGGGAAAACGGTTTCCAGCAGTTACCACGTGCAAACGTGCAAGGATCTGGAGCGTCGAGCATGGAGAACGTGCCAAGTGGATTGATCTCGAAGCAGTGTAACTGCCCGACGGTTACTTGGGATGTTTTAGTATAAATAGGAGTAGACATGTAGTTTCTCGCGTGTGTTCACAATTCTATACAAAGTCACTCATATAGATTCGAGTACCCAGCGTGTGAGAAAGAATTGTTGAGAAATGTATGTGTGAAACACCAATTTTATCAATTAAAGTCATTTACTTTTCCAGAATTTTACTTGTTTTTCTCTTTACATTTCCTGTCGAACCTTTACTTTAAAGCCTTGTTTATTTTACCAAGCCTTTCCTTTATGCAATTCATTTAAAGCCAATTTACTTAAAGCCTTATCCAACTTAATCAAACTTCAAAATCAACCTATGTCCTAGGATCAATCTGATCGATCCTGCGAGTAACCAAATAAGTAACCATTTGGAGGATCAGTGGTTGTTTACCAAAACCCAAGGTAAACAAATTGGCACACCTAGTGGGACTGTGTGTTGATTGTTGAAAATAATCTCATCTTTTCGAGTTGTATGTTATTGAGAAGTGGTAGAATATACACTAACGATAACAATACCGCCAGAAGAAGGGAAGAGATGGCGAATCCGCCAAACAATAACGAAATCCCACAAACGAGTGTGGGAGCAACGGTTAGTATGACCGTAAGTGAAGCGACAAACGTTGGTTCGACACCAGCAGTGTCGGTCACAACCACGGGGCCAATAACTTCGTTAACAGGCCCCAGAATACCTTTGGGAACTCCCCCACCAAGGGGAAATTTAGGCACAAGGCATGTGGTTCCCCCAGGATTTATTCCATTCTATGGTATGCCAACTTCTGAAGTGGCAAGCCTAACGAATGCTGCGTCCACTTTTTCAGACCCTTTTGTGAGTGCCTCTTCGCCACTCCAAGGCTCTGGAGTAGGCATGGCAAATAGAAATAGGACCCAACTCTTAGGAGGAACGTCCCAAGTAGCCCATGGCCTTACAAATGCCTCGACAGCAGTCTTGAGGCAACAGATGGACGAAAGCAACCATGATATGGTGCAAATGTTGGCACAAACTTTGAGTACAGTGCTAAACCCTCTAATACAAAATACTACTCAATCGAATCAGCAAGTTACAGCGCAAATGACGCGTTTGGCTGACTTCTTTGGAGTACCCCCACCTATTCGACAGCCTCAAAGGGCGCAAATAAGGGGAAACTAGGGGATGTTTGTAGAGGAAGAAACCACCATTAACCAGGCTCAACAACCTGTCGAACAACCTGTCGAAGAACCTAGGGTAATAGCCCCAGAGGTAAGGTTAGTTAACAGAAACCAAAATGCTGACGAAGTGGTTCAGCATATCCAATACCAAAACATGGGTTTGGAAAACAATCTGGCAACCATGATCGAAAGGATCATGACTCAGAATGGGATGAACATGGGCTTTCGAAGGCCCAACTTTACATCTCCATTGTCAGAATACGTGTTACAAACGGATTTACCTCCTAGATGCAAAGTCCCCAAATTTACTAAGTTCTCAGGGGACACGACAGAATCTACTGTCGAGCATGTGGCGAGATACTTGATCGAAGCAGGAGACATTTCGAATAACGAAAACCTAAGGATCAAGTACTTCCCAAGTTCTTTAACCAAGAACGCTTTTACTTGGTTTACAACTCTCCCCCCGAATTCGATCCATCATTGGACCCAGTTGGAAAGATTGTTCCATGAACAATTCTACATGGGGCAAACCAAGATAAGCCTGAAAGAACTGGCCAGTGTGAAGAGACGTTTCACTGAACCTATAGACGAATATCTGAATAGGTTTAGGTTGCTCAAGGCGAGATGTTTTACACAAGTGCCAGAACATGAGTTGGTCGAAATAGCCGCAGGCGGTTTAGATTATTCCATTAGGAAGAAGCTAGACACCCAGTACCTAAGAGACATGGCCCAACTGGCCGATAGAGTTCGACAGGTCGAACGCCTCAAAGCTGAAAAAGCTAAGGCAACGAAAACTCACAAGAGAGAGAGAATAGCGTACGTTGAGATGGATGACGAAGATCTAGAATCCTTCGACGATACTTTAACTGTCGAAGAAGGAGAAGTCGATTTAGCAGAACTAAAACAAGGGCCACCATACTCTTGTAAACAATTAGTCCCCTCAAATGGGAAAAATCCCATGGGTCCAGACAGGACCAACGATAGGTTCCCAAAAAAGACTTATAGTTTTGACATCACAAAATGTGATGAAATATTCGACTTGCTAGTTAAAGATGGCCAAATGATAGTACCCCCTGGGGTAAAAGTGCCTCCTCTTGATCAAAGAAAGAAGAGAGGTTTTTGCAAATATCATAATTTTTTGGGCCATAAAACGTCTCAATGTTTTCTTTTCAGGAATCTTGTGCAAGACGCTATTGAGGAAGGGAGATTAAAGTTTGCTGACAAATCCCCCATGGCTGTCGACTCCAATCAACTGAAGGCTGAAGCCCACTATGCAGAACCCTCTGAGGTGAACATGATAGAGGCAACCAGGATCCAGTCGAAGAAGCCAGGAATTACCATGGTCGAAGTCTCAAAGGACCACATCAACATGCCAATCTTTGGCAGTTTTTCTGGAAATTTATCCAGGAAGACAATTGAAGCTGTCCAAAAAGCGGTCGAGAACCCGAAGTCGGAGACTACTGAAGCACAAAAAACTGGATCAAAGCCCAGTTCCCACTTGGCCACTGTTCAAGGCCAGACGGAGAATCTGGAAATAC